TAAACCCTAAACCCTAAACCCTAAACCCTAAACCCTAAACCCTAAACCCTAACCCTAAACCCTAAACCCTAAACCCTAAACCCTAAACCCTAAACCCTAAACCCTAAACCCTAAACCCTAAACCCTAAACCCTAAACCCTAAACCCTAAACCCTAAACCCTAAACCCTAAACCCTAAACCCTAAACCCTAACACCTAAACCCTAAACCCTACACCCTAAACCCTAAACCCTAAACCCTAAACCCTAAACCCTAAACCCTAAACCCTAAACCCTAAACCCTAAACCCTAAACCCTAAACCCTAAACCAAGGCCTGCTGTGGTTCGTTTCGGTTCGTTAGGTTTCGCGGGTTGCGCTCTGAGCGTGCCCCCCTGGGCCCCGAGACCACCATGCTCCGAATGAGATCTTAGACTACACCTTGAGCCCCAAACCCTAAACCCTAAACCCTAAACCCTAAACCCTAAACCCTAAACCCTAAACCCTAAACCCTAAACCCTAAACCCTAAACCCTAAACCCTAAACCCTAAACCCTAAACCCTAACCTAAACCCTAAACCCTAAACCCTAAACCCTAAACCCTAAACCCTAAACCCTAAACCCTAAACCCTAAACCCTAAACCCTAAACCCTAAACCCTAAACCCTAAACCCTAAACCCTAAACCCTAAACCCTAAAGCCTAAACCCTAAACCCTAAACCCTAACCCTAAACCCTAAACCCCTATCTTAGACCACACCTTGAGCCCCTGCAGTAAACTCCAGAAAGTTGGAACATGGTTGAAGGATGATTAGAGCTGGGATTCCCTTTGGTATACTTTGTGGGGTATGGGGATAAGGATGTTCCAACTTTCTGGAGTTTACTGTAACCACCCCGCCGGGTCCGAAGGCGTGAGGGATCGTGAGCGTGTACGGATGAAGGGGTAGTGTGGAGGTTGGGGGGTGCAGGGGACGCAGGGGGAGTGTGCCGGGGTGCGGGGTGGGGGGGGGGGGGGGCATCTGGCACTGCAGGGGTTGTTTTGCCGCGGGACGACGAAGCGCACCGCAACAGATGCGGCGCAGTCGTGAGAGCCCGCATGGGGGGGCTTCTTGACACACGGCTTGGGACCCTCACCACATCTGTCGACGTGGGAGTGTTGGTCCAGGAGATCTGTCACAAGGCCCGGGGAGTTCCTCCCTTCCTCCGCAAAAGGTGAAGTCACTTATGGCGAATGGCCGAGACTCAATGACTTTTCGAGTAGAACCGGGTGCAATGCGCGTGCTCCGGATTCGAAGCCCTGACCCCTACACCCTAAACCCTAAACCCTAAACCCGAGTCAGTTTAAGAAAGTTTCGGGTCTAGGGCTTAGGGGGCTCGGGGTCCAGGGCAGCCTAAGGACTAAACACAAGCAGAGATGGTTTATGGGTTGAGGGTTTAGGGGTTAGGGGTTTAGGGTTTAGGTTTAGGGTTCAGGGTTTAGGGTTTAGGGTTTAGGGGTTCAGGGGTTCAGGGGTTCAGGGGTTCAGGGGTTCAGGGGTTCAGGGGTTCAGGGGTTCAGGGGTTCAGGGGGTCAAGGGTTTAGGGATTTGGGAGTTTAAGGTTTAAGTTTAGGGTTTTAGGGGTTTCGTGAATCTAGGGGTTTTCAGGCTTGGGGTATTACCTTGCAAGGGACTAAAGGAGGCACCCTGATAAGGGACCTTAGGGGTACTTTGGGTTCATTTAGGGGCTACTTAGGTATATAGGGACTACACAAGGTATGTATGAGGGTTATATAGAGGAAAAAGATGAAGGGTCCCTTCTACGGGTCCCTCCATATACCCCTTAAACCCTAACCCTAAACCCTAAACCCCAAACCCTAAACCTCAAACCCTAAACCCTAAACCCTAAACCCTAAACCCTAAACCCTAAACCCTAAACCCTAAACCCTAAACCCTAAACCCTAAACCCTAAGCCCTAAACCCTAAACCCTAAACCCTAAACCCCTTAAGCCTTGGAAAGGGGCAGATTTGCTCGCTCTGCTTCAGCCCGGACGGCCTCTCCCTCTGCAGTCTCGGCCGGGACCGGCGAAGGGCATCTGGGGGTTTAGGGTTTAGGGTTTAGGGTTTAGGGTTTAGGGTTTAGGGTTTAGGGTTTAGGGTTTAGGGTTTAGGGTCTAGGGTTTAGGGTTTAGGGTTTAGGGTTTAGGGTTAGGGGTTTAGGGTTTAGGGTTTAGGGTTTAGGGTTCAGGGTTTAGGGTTTGGGGTTTAGGGTTTAGGGTGTAGGGTTTAGGGTTTAGGGTTTGGGGTTTAGGGTTTTGGGTTTGGGGCTTGTGGCTACGGAGGTGGCGAAAAGATTTTCCTCCCACCCGAGAACCCTAAGCTACTCCTCCCCCCCGAACTTCCAGAGCCCAGTAAGATCACAGCGCCTTTGCCTCGACGAGATCTTTGTCACCCAGAGCTTTACAGTAAACCCCATAAAGTTGGAGCATGGTTTAAGGACGATTTTAGTGCGGGAGGGATTCCCTCTAGTAACCGTCTTAGGGACCCTAAACCCGAAGCCCTAAGCCATAAACCCTAAACCCTCAACCCAAAACCCAAAACCCAAAACCCAAAACCCAAAACCTAAAACCCAAAACCCAAAACCCAAAACCCAAAACCCAAAACCCAAAACCCTAACCCTTTGCTGTAGGGTTTAGGATTTCAGGGGTACACGCCTAGTTAGCCCTAACCGTAAGCGAACCCAAAGCGCAGTCCCCACAAGCCCCCGCAAAGCCCTACCCATGTCGAGATCCAGGCAGGGCGCTTAGGGTTAGGGTTAGGGTTAGGGTTTAGGGTTTAGGGTTTAGAGTTTAGGGTTCAGGGTTTAGGGATCAGGGTTTAGGGTTTAGGGTTCAGGGTTTAGGGTTGAGGGTTGAGGGTTAGGGTTTAGGGTTTAGGGTTTAGGGTTTAGGGTTTAGTGTTTAGGGTCTGTCAAGAGACTTCATGGACGGGACTTAAGTTCCTAAGCAGCAATGCAGGACCCCAAAACCCAACACGCTCAACCCTGAACGCCTGACCCGGAGCCCTAAACCCTAAACCCTAAACCCTAAACCCTAAGCCCTAAACCCTAAACCCTAGACCCTAAAACCTAAACCCGAAACCCTAAACCCCAAACCCCAAACCCTAAACCCTAAACCCCAAACCCCAAACCCTAAACCCCAAACCCCAAACCCTAATCCCTAAACCCTAAACCCTAAACCCCCCTTCAGGACCGCGGCCACACCTTGGCTGTGTGGGACCGCTTCGTGCCACCGGAGAGTCGGCTCTGCGCCGCGCCGCGCGAGCTGCCGGCCGCTACGAGAGGTTTAGGGTTTACGCTTTAGGGTTTAGGGTTTAGGGTTTAGTGTTGAGGGTTCAGGGTTTAGGAGCTAGGGATTAGGGCTTAGGGTTGTGGGTTTAGGGCACGCTACGGTTTAGGGTTTAGGGTTTAGGGTTTAGGGTTTAGGGTTTAGGGTTTAGGGTTTAGGGTTTAGGGTTTAGGGTTTAGGGTTTAGGGTTTAGGGTTTAGGGTTTAGGGTTTAGGGTTTAGGGTTTAGGGTTTAGGGTTTAGGGTAAAGGGTAAAGGGTTTAGGGTTAGGGTTTAGGGTGGTTTAGGGTTTGGGGTTCAGGGCTTAGGGCTTAGGGCTTAGGGAACGCTGCGGTTTTCAGGTTTGAGGGTTTCGGGTTTAGGGTTCAGCATCTCAAGTCCAAAATACACAGGACATATAGATATACATTAAATCAATTAGGGCACTAGTCCTATCCAGAGCCACGGACCTGAAGTCCGTTCTTGGATTGTCGTGTGTTTAGGGTTTAGGGGCTAGGGTTCAGGGTTCAGGGCTAGCCGAAATCAGAGCTTCATGTCTGGCATCCGCATTCTGTCTGTTCCTGGAATCCGCACTTTTCGCCCAATCTTGGTATCCCACTCCTTTGGGGATTTTAAGGTTTTTAGGGGCCAGGGCTTTCGGGTTTTAGGGTGTGGTGTTTAGGATTTCAGGTTTAGGGTTTGGGGTTTAGGGTTTAGGATTTCGGGTTTAGGATTATAGGATTTAGGGTTTAGGGTTTGGGGTTTAGGGTTCGGGGTTTCGGGTGGCTTCATGGGGGCATCGGGTTTAGTAGGGTCTGGAGGGTCGAAAAGCGCAGAGAGGTCGTGTTTCGGAGTCCGGCGACGAAGGCGCGACAAACCCTACACCCTACACCCTAAACCCCAAACCCGAAACCTTAAACCCTAAACCCTATGCCCTGTATACCCTAGACCCTAGACCTTAGACCCTAGACCCTAGACCCCAAACCCTCAACCCTCAACCCTCAACCCTCAACCCTCAACCCTCAACCCTCAACCCTCAACCCTCAACCCTCAACCCTCAACCCTCAACCCTCAACCCTCAACCCTCAACCCTCAAGATTGTGGATTGAACAGATTCTGGGCAGAGCTGGGGGTCTAAGGGTTTCAAAATAGGGCTGTGGAGGGAGGCGACAGTCGGTGGGTTGGGGTTCTAGGGGCCAACCATCTGAAGCCCCCATAGAGCCCCTATAGAGCCCCTATAGAGCCCCTATAGAGCCCCTATAGAGCCCCTATAAGCCCCTATAGAGCCCCTACAGAGCCCCTACAGAGCCCCTACAGAGCCTATAGAGCTTGTGGACCTATGAAGCCTGTAAGGCCTATAGCCCAAAAGCCTCATAAACCCTAGAAACCCATAAGCAAAGCCCCACACACCCTATGAGCCCTAGACGCCCTACAGGCCCTGTAATCCCTACGAGCTGTTAAAGCCCTATATAGAAGCCCTAGGAACCCTGTAAAAAGCTCATAAGCACCCCATTCAAAGCCGTAAATCCCATTGCTATAACGACAACATAAACCCAACGAACAACCCCCTAAAACCCTACAAGCCCTATGAACCCTCTAAAAACCCTAAAAGCCCTATGGACCCTTTAAAGACCCTAAACACCCCATAAAAAACCCTAGAAAGACCCGAAGCCCCCCCCCCCCCCCGTATTCACAGGTTCCCTCCGGCCAAGTTCCTGCCCACGGCATGGCCGGCATGAAGACGCTGGTCAAGTCACTCTTTCACTTCGCGATCTACGACGGAGGCTCTCTTTGTCGAAGTGCGTGTAGTGCCAAAACCCTTAACCCTAAACCCCGAACCCCAAACCCTGAACCCTACACCCTAAACCCTAACCCCAAAACCCTAGACCCCTAAACCACTAAACCCTAAGCCCTAAACCCTCAAAAAGTAGCCCCTGAGAGAAGGCAAGTATGCCTGCAAGGAAACAGGAGCCCTCGCTCACTTTAGGGTTTGGGGCTTAGGGTTTAGGGTTTAGGGTTGAGGGCTTAGGGAGTTGGTCCAGGGATCGAGTTGGTTTTCACATGGCCTCAAGCGCTTGGAGCTTAGCCACTTTGGGGTTAACCTAGCGGTTTTGCTAGCCCGTGGCTTAGAATCAGATTGCCGGGCAACCGAGCATGATTTGAAGTGGAGAAGGGCTCCATGTGAACAGGGTTTGGTGTGTTGTGGACTGCGCGCAGCGAAGACTTCTCATGGCCCCAACCCCCATTCTGCAATATGGTGGGAGGCCTGCAGAAGCAGTCCGGCGTGCTGCTAAAGTTTTACAGCCTGGACTCAAACAGGGCGACCCGGATGTCCCAGACTTCCCAGAGGGTTTAGGGTTTAGGGTTTAGGGTTTAGGGTTTAGGGTTTAGGGGAGCTTCGGGGTTGGTTGGGTTTGGGCTTAGATTCGGGCTGAGAAGGCTTGGTTTATCAAGGGATGAAGACTCGTACCCTAAGGTTGAACCCTAAAGGTTCCCCCCAATGTCCCCCTACTAGGGCCCTTATTTTTCCTTAGGGATCCTAGAGTTCAGGGTTTATGTGGAAGGGGGTGGACCGTTAGGTGCTGCACCTTGTACTTCGGGGGTTGTAGCCTATGAGTTCGCAGGTTCTGGGAGGTTGCCATATACATGCCTTCTGAACCAGCCCTCTTCCCCCTAAACCCTAGACCCCAAACCTTCGACTCTTGCCCTAAACCCTAGATCCTAAACCCTAAACCCCCACATCTTCCTGACGCCCTAAAGCGCCACACCTGCTGCTCATCCTTGAACCCAAGGACCTCAAGGGCAGCGCCGCCATCTTCGGCAAGCCGGCCCCGCGACATGCGCCCGGGACACGCACGGCTCTGTCGGTTTTGGGTCTTTGCAGGGATTTGCTCGTGTTTTGTCTTTGTGTTCTGGTGGGGTTTTGTGGCCAAGCCCTAAAACCGAAAACCGGAACATTAAGGGCCAGGCGTTTGGGATCGAAGGTTTTTCAGGCTCGTGGCGCGTGAGGGCTGGGCTCACGGGGCCCTGGGCGCTGGTAGCAAGGGTCATGATGGGAGTACTTGGAGGTTCATGGTACTTATTAGCCAATTATAGCTGTTCTTACAACCCACTTGTAAGCCCCTTAGGTGCCCTAATATGGTTAGAAGTACAGTCATAAGTACAGTTATAATTGGCCAATAAACACCATGAACCTCCAAGTATATACAAGGACCCCAGTGTAGGCCCTGCTTCTCTTCTTTTATTAGGGTTTTGGTTCCCTTAGAAGCCCCTACACCCAGAAAGGGTGCCCGTTTACTAAACCCTAACTCCTAAACCCTCAACCCTAAACCCTAAACCCAAAATGAACCCTACATAAACCCAAAACCCTTTTTATTCCTAGGTTACTCTTGGCTCTTAAACCCCAAACCAATACTGAAAGGGAGAACACGAAGGAAGCGAACGCACAATATTGGTATTATCGCAGCGCGAAATCAAGTCTTGTATTGTGCTGCACGAGCTCTCTTTTCCTTCACTCCTTTTCACCCTTAACGGACGTCTTATGAACCTCTGTCTCTAGGAGTTAAGTCGTGAAGGTAACAGCCAGGATGGGAGAATGAGGATGAAAAGGGCCAAACAATATGTCTTTTTATAAGGCCCCTGTCTCCCTCATTCGCTACCTTAAAGACCATAACATCCTAACCCCCCAGCGGTTTAGGGTTTAGGGTTCCCTAAACCCTAAAACCCTAAACCCTAAACCCCCTGAACCCTAAACCCCCTAAACCCTAAACCCTAAACCCGAAACCCTAAACCCGAAACCCTAAACCCGAAACCCTAAACCCTAAACCCGAAACCCGAAACCCTAAACCCCAAACCCCGAAGGTGCTTTTCTGTTCCTGGACATCCGACGGGCGATGCCTTGCCTCCTGCGACAACGGGTATCTGTACATCTTCGAGGCCGGTTGGGGGTTTAGGGTCGAGGGTTTAGGGTGTAGGGTTGAGGTTTTAGGTTTTGGGTATCTGTACATCCTCGACGCCGTTTTCACGAGGAGCTTTGGGCTTTGGGGGCTTTGGGAGCTTTGAGGAGTTTTTCGGGGTTCAGGGGTTTAGGGCTTTAGGGGCTTCATAGGGTTCTAGGGGCTTAGTGGTTTAGGGGTTCGAGGGCTTAAGGGGTGCAAGGGATGAGGGGTTGAGGGGTTTAGGGTTCTGGGATTCAGGGTTCAGGCCTTTGGGGCTTCTGGGGTTGAGGGGTGAGAGCCCTGACGCCGGCGGCGCTGAGCGGGTACGGTAGCCTCATTGTATACCGGTTTGGGTATCGCCCCCGGGCAGGAGTGCTCCTGAAACCTAAACCCCAAGGCGGGGGGTCAGGGTTTGGGGTTTGGGGTTAGGGCCTAGGGTTTAGGGTTTAGCAGGGCTTGGTGGGGATAGAAGGTGCCCACTTCCCTAATTCCCTATGAAGGACTAGCAAGAAGCATTATCCTAAACCCTGAACCCTGAACCCTCAACCCTAAACCCCCCTAAACCCTGAGCCGTTCCTTGGCGAAGGGCCATGCGGCCACGAGCAGCCAGCGCATCAGCCGCTATGGCAAAAACAAAGCTCGGAATGCTTGCGGTTCAGGGCTTAGGGTTTAGGGTTTAGGGTTTAGGGTTTAGGGTTTAGGGTGTAGGGTTTAGGGTTTAGGGTTGGGCGCATGGACCTGTTTTAGAGCCTTGTTGGGTTTAGAGGTCAAAGCCCTTAAGAATTGTTGAGCCAAACCTTAAACCCCCTCAAGGTCAGGATGAATTTAAATGACACTGCATGGGCTTGACTTGGAACAAATTCGGCGGGCTCGCAAAGTTTTTTGTCCGAGCCCAGGAAGTAACATGCAATGTTGAATTTGCTTAAACTCCTCTTGCTCGCCAACAGTTTCTTCTGAAAGGAGATTTAGGGTTTAAGGGGTCTAAACAAGCCAGCTCTGCTTACAGCTGAGGCCCCAATGGCCCCCGCAAGTCAACAGAGCCAAGAGGACCCCAAAAGAGCCCCCGCCACAAGCGCAAAAGAGTTCTCTAAAGAAACCAAAGACGAGGGGTTCAGGGTTTAGGGTTAAGGGGAGACGACACCCAGAAGGCTTCCAAGACACCCGCCTGCAGGCTCAAACACAACGAAACTCTTCCCAAAACCCGCCCAAGACCCTAAAGCCCAAACCCAAACCCCAAACCCGAAACTCCAAACCCTAAACCCCAGACCCCAAACCCTAAACCACAACTACCCTAAGGCACCAGTGCCCTGGGCTTCTGCGTGGAGCTTCCGGACCAGCGCCTCCTTGCGGGCTCGCGGGACTCGGCGGCTTGGCTCAGGGGAAGCACGTCCGCAGCTTCTTGTGGTGGCAGGTTCAGGAGTGCCCTAAACCCTAAACCCTAAACCCCAAACCCTTAAACCCTAAACCCTAAACCCTAAACCCTAAACCCTAAACCCTAAACCCTAAACCCTAAGAACCCCGAGGTGCTCCACTTTCTGCCGGCCAGCGGCTCGGGAAATGCCCGCGCCCGGCCCCTGCGCGACCTGGGTGCCGCGCTGCTCTGCAGCGCCCCCCGGCGAGGGCTTAGGGTTTAGGGTTTAGGGTTTAGGGTTTAGGGCTTAATTATGGTTTAGGATTTAGGGTTTTGGGGGTTTAGGGGTTTAGGGTTAAGGCCTTCATTAGGGTTTAGGGTTTAGGGCTCTCGGGTTTTTGGGGGTTTTGGGCATTAGGGCTATAGGAGGGTTCAGGCCATTTCAGGGCTTTGGGGTTATAGGAGAGTTTTGGGCTTGTTGCTCGGTCTGTTTGGCATGGGTTGGGGTGGAGAAGTTTGGGCGTTCAGGGTTGACCCCTAAACCCTGAAACTTAAAACCTAAAACCTAAACCAAAACCCTCAACCCTAAACCAAAACCAACCAAAACCCTCAACCCTAAACCTAAACCCTAAACTCTAAACCCTAATCCTGTGGACTTATGATGTTGCGCCCTGGAAGGTCTAAGTCCCTACACCCCTGAACTCACTTCGTGATGCCTTCCTGTAACTGTAGATCCTGAGCCTTTTTGGGTTTCTTGGGTTTCTTAATGAGGCAGCTAAACTTTTTGTTTATAGCTACCCTGCTAAGTGCAGCCAAGCTCACTCCAAAGCCCTCACCAGGCAGGCCCGGTGCCCTTCGCCTCCGCCAGTGCCGGGCCGGCAGTCTTGGCAGGCCCTGGGTTTTAGGGGGGGGGGTTGGGTTGGGTTTAGGGTTTAGGGTTCAGGGTTTCAGGTTCAGGATTTAGGGTTCAGGAGGGTTTAGGCCCGGCGCTCTTGTGAGGCCCTGTGGTTGGGGGTTCGGGGTGGTAGGGTTCCGGTTTTAGGGCTTTCAGCCCCAAACCCTAAACCCCTAAACCCCCGAAGCCTTAACCCTAAACCTGTGACTCGGGATGTTCCCGCTTGTACTAACAGTCCTTAATCGAGATTATAGTACCCCCTATTAAAACCCCTCTTGCCTTTCGACACGGCGCACACCAAGGGTTTGGAGTTTAGGGTTTAGGGTTTAGGGTTTAGGTTTTAGGGCGCGGGGGGGGGTTCAGGGCCTCGTTGGGTTTTCGGCAGAATGGAGGGCGCGCGACAAAGAAAGGCTCCACGAACCACCACCTGCTCCTGATCGATGCAGCTGAAGAGAGGCCCCGAGAGGGTTTCGGGTTTTGGTGCTCAGGGTTTCTGCGCTGCTGCCGGTCTACACCTCAAAAGGTTACAAACCCCACACCCTCAACTCCTAGCCCCTAACCCCTCAACCCTCAACCCGAAGCCCCAAACCCTGAATCCCGAACCCTACGCCCCTAGACCCCTCAACCCTAAAACCTAGAACCCTAAACCCTACAAACCCCGGAAATCCCGAACCCGAAGCCCTAGACCTTGAGCCCTGGGTTTACGGTTTCGGGATTGAGCCCTGGGTTTACGGTTCCGGGATTGGGGCTCAGGGCTTCGGGTATAGGATGAACCCCGAGTTCATACCATACGCTCCTAACACGGGGCTCAGGTGCGGGGGTTTAGGGTTTAGGGTTTAGGGTTTAGGGTTTAGGGTTTAGGGTTTAGGGTTTAGGGTTTAGGGTTTAGGGTTTAGGGTTTAGGGTTTAGGGTTTAGGGTACACTTCACCTGCAACTGCCCCAACCTCGAGATCGATTGTGGGGCGGCTTTTTCCAAGAACAGCAGCTGGATTTGGTTTGGGATTTAGGGTTTAGGGTTTAGGGTTTAGGGTTTAGGGCCTAGGGTTGATCTGGAATCACATGGGGGTGTAGGGTTTAGGGTTCAGCATTTCAGGCTTCGTTTGGTGTGCAGTGTAGGGTGCTTGCATTGTCCGTCTGCACCAATGTGACTCTCATGAGCGGGGCGCCCGTTTAGATAACAGCCAGAGGCGATTCCGTCATCGATGAATTCCGACTCTACCCTAAACCCTAAACCCTAAACCCTAAACCCTAAACCCTAAACCCTGAACCCTAAACCCTAAACCCTAAACGCAAAACCCTACAAACCTGAAACCCTACACCAAACCCTAAGTTGCCACTTGTTCTTCAGCAGGTCCTGTCGACCTCGGCCCCACAGAACCCATGCGGTTGATCTTGATTGAAGAGACTTCACCTAACCCCTATATGGTCAGTTTTCTACATTGTGGCCCCTTTTGGCGGTTTCAGGTTTAAGGTACTGTACCATACAACCCTGTGTACATCTCATTTAGCCCGAAGCCCTAAACCCCAAACTCCAAACGCTAAACCTTCCTGGGTCTCGTTACAACCCTAAAACCCTAAAACCCTGAAACCCTAGACCCCTAAACCCCTAAAACCCTAAAACCCCAACAGACCCCAAACCCCAAGACCCTAAAACCCGAAAACCCTAAGCCCTCTGTGCCTCGCGGTCCCCTTCCAAGAGCGCGCAGGCTCAAGCAGGTCTTGCAGGTGGGCAGTGCTGGTGAGGCCAGGGTTTGGGGGTTTCGGGCTTTGGAAATTTCGGGTTTAGGGTTGAGGGTTTAGGGTTTGGGGGTTTCGGGTTTGGGGGTTTCGGGTTTGGGGTTGAGGGTTGAGGGGTTGGGTCCGGCGTTTTCCTAGGCAGGGCCCTGTACTTTTCCTAGGTGTTGCCTCCTTTTTACTTCTTTGTTATTTTCCCTATATGTGGCGGTCTTGTTTTTGTAGGTGTGGCGGGCTTTTCGTCCCATGGTCCTGGGGTCAAGTCCCCTGACCCCTTGGTTCTCCGTGCATCCTCGCGCATACCCTCGTACTCTCACACTGCTGGTCGTTCTGGGCAAGCCCTATAGCCCGAAAGCCTTAAAATCCTACAATCCCAAGACCCCACTAAAACCCTCAAGCCCCCACCCTAACCCTAAACCCCACGCCCTAAACCCCAAACCCCAAACCCTAAACCCTAACCCCCAAACCCCCAAACCCCTAAACCCTAACCCCCAAACCCCAAACCCCAAGCCCAAAGCCCCGAAGCTTCCAAAGCATGCCCAGGTGCACGCGCTGGCCGTCCATCCCTCCCCAGAGTTGCAGCTCTTCGTGACGGGGTCCTCGGATGCCGCTGGCCTGAGAGGGGCTTGGGGTTTAGGGTTTAGGGTTTGGGGTTTAGGGTTTGGGGTTTGGGGTTTAGGGTTTGGGGTTTAGGGTTTGGGGTTTGGAGTTTAGGGGTTTGGGGCTTAGGGTTTAGGAGGTTATTGGTTTTGGGTTTAGGGCCTGGGGGTGTAGGGTTTCTTAGGGGCTGGGTTTAGGGGTGTAGGGGTTTTAGGTGATTACAGTTCAGGGCTTTGGGGTTTGGAGTTTCGAGGCGTTTGGGCTCGTGCAAAGGGCTTTGGGTTAAACCTAGGCCTCAGGCATTTCCAGCATGGGGTGGCGAAGTTGCTGTTTACTCAGCTTGCTGTCTTAAATCTTGATGAAGGAAGCCTTGTGGGGATTCCATGCCTAGGAGCCTTTATGTCCAAAGACCGCCACCTGAGGTTCTGAAGCCTCCTAAGGCTTCCTGAAATGGGAACTTACAAGGAGTATCTCGAGGCCCATGAATCCTCAATGGTCAAGCTGACGCTCCAGACCGTAAACCCTAAACCCTAAACCCTGAACCCTGAACCCTGAACCCTAAACCCTAAACCCTAAACCCTAAATCCCAAATCCCTTAATCCTAAACCCTAAACCCTAAACCCTAAACCCCAAGATCTCCTACCGCCAAGGCTACCGTGCGCTTCTGGGATTCACGCGACCACTCGCCCGTGGCTACTTGGCTTCACTGTGGGCCAGCAGTTCAGCGTCTCTCGACGAGACCCAGTACCAGGAAATCCCCAAAGCCTTGAGGTTTAGGGTTTAGGGTTTAGGGTTTAGGGTTTAGGGTTTAGGGTTTAGGGTTTAGGGTTTAGGGTTTAGGGTTTACTCTCATTGGGCTAATGCCCAAACCCTCACCGGCCCTCACCCTGGACCCGAAAGCCCTTGTGTAAAAGGGCCATGTCCTGTATCGCGGATGATGGGTTTAGGACTTAGGTTTCGGGCTTTGGGTGTAGGGCTTTGGGTTTAGGGTTTACATAGGCTTGGGGTTTTGGGTTAGGGCCTCTTTTTTGGATCACAGCGACGGCACGGCGACACAGGGCTGGGGGTTGCTGGAGAATCTCAGGTACCCCGAGTAGAATAGGCAGCCTCTCCTTCCCCTAATCAAGGTTTTTTTAACGTTACAAAAGCCCTAAATGCTTAGAACACAACCCCCCCCCCCCCCTTCCCCAGAACCCCGCCCCAATGAGATTGGAGCTCACTTGCGCAGGTTGGGCGAGTCCTCGACTACTCCCGAGACCAATACTGGTGGCCAGAGGGCCAGGTCCCCAAAGATGGGCCACTCGGCCGCCAGACATTAGGACCCCTCAGCCGAACCCCTTCACCCTTCATCCGCAAGCCACGGCCCGAAAGTCCTGATGGGAGGCAGGTGCTCGGGGGAGGGATGTTCATACCTGTGAGACTGTTACCTGGCAGCAGCAGCCCTACCTGGAGGGCGGCTGCAGAAACAGGATCTGGCTGGAATGCCCAAGCTCGTGGAGCGCGCACTGCCCCAAAACTCCTTCATGTCCTGGCCCAACTCCTGCCCGAAGCTTGCAGGTTTCAAGGGTTTGGACCCTAAACGCTACCCTAAACTCGAAACCCTAGACCCGAAACCCTAAACCCTAAACGCTGAACCATAAACGCTTCGGGTTTAGGGTGAAGGGGCGCCTTGAAGGGAGCGAAGAAGACAGAGGCACAACAAGAGCGTTAGTTCCCGGAAGGAACGCTTTTGACACCTGCGGCCTTCTGTCCTGGACTCCAAAGCCCTGAACCTTAGGGTTTAGGGTTTAGGGTTTAGGGTTCTGCTGGCTTTTCAACAAGGAAGGGGATCTATGCTCTGGCCTTGTCGTCCTCGGGGAAGTGGCTGGCCCTGCAAGGGGTTCCATGAATATCTTTCGGACACCTGGTTTTGGAGGTTTACTTGGACCGAGGGTAGGCCTTTATTCACCTTTTTCTTGCGGCTTAGGTTCCCGCATAAACCCCTTTAAGACCAACAAGTGCACCCTCTGTTTTCCCTAGCTTACTCCTTTAGGTTTTAGGGTCCTGGACCTAGGGCCTAGGGTCTCTCCAGGCTCTCCTTTGGTTCGAAGGTGCAGGGCCCTGCCTTTGCCCCACGTTGACATGCAACTTCCCTTTATCCCCAGACCAGAGCCTTGAGACAATCCGAAACCTCAAGACCCAAACCCGAAATCCAAAGCCCAGGCACTTCAGCCCCAAGCAGGCCCCTAAGCCTAAACCTTCTAAGACCTGAACCCCCCCCCCCCCCCCACCCCTTTGAGAAGAAGCAAAAACCACCCTCCAACTTAAAATGAGAGCCCGAAGCCCTAAGCCTCAGTCCTCTTGAGCCAAGGCTCTTGGCCCTGGGTCACGGCGAGGGTACTCTCAGGCGAGCGGAAGTGAGTCTGGGGGGAGGGTTTAGGGTTTAGGGTGTCGGTGTGGATGGATGAAGCTTGTCACTAAAGGGTTTAGCCTTCAGGCTGGGATCAGATGCTTATGGCTTCACAGGGTGTGGGGCTTCTCGAAGCAGCGTTTGTCTATCTTCCAAAACGTTTGGCCCTCTCCAACCCAAATACGGTCCCCGCAAGACTGCAGTAGCCCCACACCCTAAGCCCTAAACCTGAAACCGACGGGTAAACCCTAAACCCTATATCCCAAACCCTAAACCCGAAACCCTAAACCCTAAACCCTAAACCCTAAACCCTAAACCCTAGACCCTAGACCCTAGACCCTAGACCCTAGACCCTAAACCCTAAAACCCTAATCCTAAACCCTAAACCCTTAGCTGCAAGTCCTATAGGCCCTAAGCCCTTAGCTTACTGTTGGTTAGTAGAATGAGGTTCTTTAAGGCCCCAAAGCCCCCCTATGAAACCCTTAAAGGGATTATATAGGGCCCCTATATCCCCCTACATAGACCCTTTAAGGGATTATATGGGGTACCTCATTCCCTACTGACCAACAGCAAGTGAAGCCCCCTTGAAACTCATGCCAGGCTCCTCTCCTTTCCCGAGCTTCAAGCGCCAGCAGCGTCCCGGCAGGAAAGTTTGGTTGGGTTGAGGGTTTACTTTGTCAGAGTGGGGTGCCATTTTACATGTTGAAGGGTACCTACACTGCCTACACTCAATAAGGAATAGAAATTAATGTAGATATTTAATACTATCCCAAGGGCTTAGGTCAGTTTAGTGTGCATTTTTTCGGAGGGTTTCAGGTCTTCTGCTCGTCCCACGGCTTCGTGCGCGCTCTACTCCCTCAACCCTAGTCCCGAAGCCTTATTAGCCCTAAACCCTAAACCCTAAACCCTAAACCCTAAACCCTAAACCCTAAACCCTAAACCCTAAACCCTAAACCCTAAACCCTAAACCCTAAACCCTAAACCCTAAACCCTAAACCCCTAAACCATAAACCCTAAACCCTAAACCCTAAACCCTAAACCCTAAACCCTAAACCCTAAACCCTAAACCCTAAACCCTAAACCCTAAACCCTAAACTCGAAACCCTAAACCCTCAACCCTATATGCCCTATAAGCCTAATGCGCCCTGTAGGCCCCCGAAGGCCTAAACCACAACAGACTGAGCTCCATTCTTTTTTTGGTGTAGGGTTTAGGGTTTAGGGTTTCGGGATAGGGTTTAGGGTTTAGGGTTTAGGGTTTAGGGTTTAGGGTTTAGGGTTTAGGGTTTAGGGTTTAGGGTCTAGAGGTTTAGGGTTTAGGATTGACGGTTGAGGGTTCCGCCTTCTAACAATGATCCTTGAAGCTCGAGGTGGCCTGCGCGTCGAAGCAGCGCGAGCGCATCTCCGCCCTGATCTTCGTGGACGAGCCTCGGCTTTGAGGCTTTTAAGGCTTTAAAGCTCCGGGTTTAGGGTTTAGGGCGCAGGGTTTCGGGTTTAGGATTTGTTTAGGGCTTAGGGTTTAGGGTGTACGTAGGGTTTGAAAAGTTTAGGCATGCGATTGGCAAAGTTTAGGGATTAGTAAGGTATTGGAGGGAACTTGGCTTGTGGGGTCTGAATATGTCTCAGCCTCGCCTGACCAATCTTTTCGCCATGCTCAGGACAGCCTCCTGATTGCCGGCTGTTGGGATCAGCTCATCTACATCTTTGATACGTCTGGCCTCAAGTGCCTCCGAGTGCTGAAAGGCCTTGTCCCCAGGGGACACGGGGTCCGAAAGGGTTCTGGATTGAGGCCGTTGATCCTAGGCAGGATAAGGGGGACCCTGCAAAGGGAACCGTTTAAAGTTTTGTCCCCACTCGGCCCCCCCTGAGTTTGAGGGAAGCTCGCTTGGAGGCTCAGAAATGTATTCCTATCAGACCTGCGTTGCAGTAGCTTTAATCCAGCTGCACTAAATCTGCGCGTGGCTTGCTCATCAGTGGGCGATTTAGCCTAACCCCAGGACCCCAGACCCTAAGCCCGGAGACCTAAACCCGAAACCCGAAAATCTCAACACCGTAAACCCAGAATAGATGGATAGAGAGATGGATATATACATATATATATATGTATATATAATATCTATGTATCCATTCATTTGTGTCTATTTATATATATATATATATGTACATATATATATATATATGTACATATATATAGATTATTATTGTTATCATATGTGTGTATGTATGTATGTATATATATATATATATATATGCATATATATATATGTACACTTGCACAGCCCGGATCCGGCGCGAAGGCAACTGCAGCTCCGTCACACAGATGCAAATCAGCGCGGACAGCTCCTATGTCATGAGCAATGCCAAGGATGGGCAGGCCATCGCCCCAGGATTGCAGTAGGGTTTGGGCGGTTTAGGGTTTGGGCGGCTTAGGGTTTAGGGTTGAGGGTTTAGGGTTTAGGGTTGAGGGTTTTGGGTTGAGGGTTTTGGGTTGAGGGATTAGGGTTGAGGGGGGGTTCGTGGTGCATTATTCGCGGCCTTTCGGGTGTAGGGACCCAGGGCCTTGAAACTCTACTCCTTCGTCATGGAGTAAGGCTCTGATAGCCATAAACTTCGCCCTGTTTCATCTCCTAGGTTGCTCGACCTAGATCCCCAGCACTCTCATGAGTATTCCCTTGCTGTCAGGTTTCGAACTTTTACTAAACCGCAAGCCCTAAGCCCTAAACCCTAAACCCTAAACCCTAAACCCTAAACCCTAAACCCTAAACCCTGAACCCTGAACCCTGAACCCTGAACCCTGAACCCTGAACCCTGAAACCTGAACCCTGAACCCTGAACCCTGAACCCTGAACCCTGAACCCGAAGCCTTGAAAACCCTAAAGCCTAAGTCTCAAAGCCCCCCCTCCTCCCCACCCTAAACTCTAAGAAGCCCTACCTGGGCCCTTTTTTACCTACAGTTTTATGGGCTTAAAGGGTAGTTACTACTAAACTGTGGATAAATAGAGTCCCAGGTAAGCAGCCCTCAAAAGCCCTAAGCCCCTAAGCCCCTAAGCCCTAAGCCCTAAGCCCACCAATACGGCATTACCGTGATTTAATGCATTTTCCCATTCATTAGTTGTCACCTAAACCCTAAACCCCAAGCCCCAAAATTTTGAGACCCTCAGCAGGTCCTGTTCTTCGATGTGCGGACGGGCGAGCGCGTGGCCGCCCCTGCGGTTCGCGAGCAAAGCTGGAGGACGGGTTCAGAGTTTGGGTGAGTGCCCTAAACCCTAAACCCTAAACTTTTAAACCCTAAACCCTAAACCCTAAACCCTAAACCCGAAACCCCACACCCGAGGCCCTCAACCCTAAACCCTTCACCCTAAACCCTAAACCCTAGGCCCAGTGTTGAGGTTCTTGGCCTTGATCCCCAAAAACCCGACAACCGAAGATTTTTGGTACCCTTTCTTCTAGGGTTTAGGGTTTGGGGTTTGGGTGTAGGGTTTAGGGTTTAGGGTTTAGGGTTTAGGGTTTAGGGTTTAGGGTTTAGGGTTTAGGGTTTAGGATATAGGGTTTATGGTTTCGGGTTTAGGGTATAGGGTTTAGGGTTTAGGGTTCACAAGCCCTGAGCCTTGCTTGGGCGGGGGGGGGGGGAGGGTTGCCCCTAAAAGCCCGCCCTAAGCCCTACGCCCTAAGCCCCAAGGCCTCAGCCCTAAACTTATGCCTTGTCTGGTCCTAACTAAGGGTCTGAGGCCCCAAAGGCTTTGACCGGCTGACTGGATTTTTAGTGAGAATTAGGACCCAAAATGGTCCCCTACAGCCGTAAATGGTTACGTAGAAGAATGTAGATTGCATCATCCCTAGTTCCCTATAACAACTAGTAAGCCCAGCCTGAATGCCCAAGCCCATGAGCTGTTAAGTTCGTAGTGCAATCAACCTCGAACCGTGGTTCACGGTAGGTGACAACTCAATCTGTGGATTTGGTAAGCGCGCCTGCGCGGCCAAGCATGCCAAGCCATTTCGACTAAAACAGTGCATCCCTCCCCCTAAACACTCAACACTCAACCCTAAACCCTAAACCCTAAACCCTAAACCCTAAACCCTAAACCCTAAACCCTAAACCCTAAACCCTAAACCCTAAACCTCTTAGCCCCTGAAACTCCAAAACGCTCAAGGCGCTGGTGCTGCCCCGCAGGCTGGGCGACGAATCTTGACGAATTCGACTCCTCCCAAATGCCAAGCCCCCCAAAGGCAGGCTTGGGGTTTAGGGTTTAGGGTTTAGGGTTCAGGGTTTAGGGTTTAGGGTTTAGGGTTTAGTGTTTAGGGTTTCGGGTTTGGGCTTTAGGCCAACCGTTCAGCCCTAAACCCCATAAAAGCCCTAAACCCTGGAAGCCTGTGTCAAGGACGGGTATCTGGTCCGCCAACCGCAACTTTGGCATCGTGGATGTCAAGTGCTGCACGAACCTCCGGGCGAACGAAGGCGCCGTGGACGGGCAATTCAGAGGAAGTGGGTTTGCCGCTGCCTAGGGGTTATGGGCAACACTGCACCCCAACCGCCGAAGCTCCATTTGTAATGCTACGCGTTGGGCCGGGTAAGACAGAACAATAGTAGGAAGGATGTGCGAAGCTAAAAAGCAAGAGGGTTTGGGAGCCTTGGCCAGGAAATTCAGGGACTACAGGCGGATATAGTGTGTATATATATATATATCATATCATATATATATATATATAGAAGGGTTATATAGGGGAATATGATTGAGGGTCCCTTCGAGGGGTCCCTCCTTTTACCCCTGAAGGTCACCAGCTGCTGGCCAGTGGCGACACCAGCCACGGCGTCCAGCTCTTCGGGTTTCCAGCGCTGGAAGGGCAAGGCGGTGCCAGGGTTGAGGGGTGGTGCGTTTGGGGTTAAACCCTAAACCCTAAACCCTAAACTGTAAACCCTACACCCTACACCCTAAACCCTAAGCCCTAACCCTAAACCCTAAACCCTAAACCCTGAGCCCTAAACCCTAAACTCTGAACTAGCTTAGGTTGGCTCCACAGATCCCAAACAGCCTACTCATTGCTAGAGGTTTTAGCACTTACTAGGTGTAAGGGTCACGAGGTTTAGTCGGGTTTGAGAGCAGAGGAAGCCCTAAACCCTGAACCCCAAACCCCAAACCCCAAACCCTATATCCTAACCCTGAACCAAAAACCCCAAGCCCTAAACCCTAAACCCTGCCAGGACATCATGTCTTCGATGGCCATGCCGGCTTTGTCACAGCCATGGCGCCGATCCCCGGGTCTGGGGAGCTCGCAGAGGTCGCGGGGAGGGGAACTAGTGGGGTTTAGGGCGTTGAGGGGGTTTAGGGTTTGGGGTTTAGGGTTTGGGGCTTGGGGGTTTAGAGTTTAGGGTTTAGGGTTAGAGGGCCCGAGCCCCCAATCACTCTCTGTAGACAACCCCAAGGCTCTTTACCCGAAGGCCCGAAGACCCCCTAAGTGGTCAGGGCTTCGGGGGGAAGGGGATGAGGGCTTGGACGTGTTCAGATCCCGTTTGATAGCACAGGGTTGAGACTCTGTGGTTTTGCTGGGTTTTGTAGGGGTTTTAGGGTTTAGGGTTCAGGGCTTAGGTGAAGACACCTAGGGCTCGTTTCCGGGCTTCCAGACCCCAGTCCTTTAAACCGTAAGGACCAAGCCGTAGGGTGTAAGGGGTTTAGGGGTGCATAGGGAGGAACGGACCCCCTCAACCTCCATGGTATATCTGGTCCGATCTAAACTATAACCCTAAACCCTAAACCCTAAACCCTAAACCCTAAACCCTAAACCCTAAACCCTAAACCCTAAACCCTAAACCCTAAACCCTAAACCCTAAACCCTAGGCCTTTGGGGTTCGGGCACTTAAGCTTGGGCACTTAGGGTGTAGAGTGTAGGGTGGGTTCTTCGGGGCGCTGAGCCCTAAACACCCAAAGCCCAAAACCCTGAACCCTAAACCCTAAACCCTAAACCCTAAACCCTAAACCCTAAAACCCTAAACCCTGACCCCTAAACCTCAACCCCGAGCACGGCTGACCCTGAGGACAAGCTGATCACCGCGGGCGGGGACGACCATGCACTGCTGCCTCGAGCTCGCACTTGGAGCGCGTGTTTAACCCCAAGCCCTAAACCCCTCGGTCCGAAGGTTCTCCTACGACCCCCCTCTAAACCATCCCCCCCCCCAGGTTTCCCCCCAGAGTTACGGCTATTTAGGGATAATTAAGCCTAATTTGGGCTATTTTTGAGGGGGCAACCTCGAAGGGGTAGTATAGAAGGGGGGTAGGAGGGGAACCCATGGTAGGTATGTGCGTCAAGTACGTTGTCCCCTGCGCCTTTTAAGATGGAGGGTTTGGGGTTTGGGTTGTGGGGCTAGGGTTGTGGCTTATAGTTCAGCGCTGCAAACCAAACTGACCGGGTAATGACGAGCATCTGCGACCCAAGTAGTCCCAAGCCCTAAACCCCACACCCTAAACTCCAAACCCTAAACCCCAAAACCTAAACCCCAAACCCTATACCCTATACCTAAATCGCCTAAGCCTAGACATTACGGCGATTGGAAGTTCAGAATACGTGGCGGCTGTTGATGAATTAGGGTCTCTCTCCTTTTGGGGTACCCTGGTGTGCACTTACTGTTGGTTAGTAGGGAATGGGGGAATGAGATACCATATAGTTATCCCCTAAATAAATATAAATATAAATAAATACATATATATATATATACCCTTGAAGGGATTATGTAGGGTACCTTATTCCCCCATTCCCCACTAACCAACAGTAAGAAAATTGAGGTACCATAGCATACCCGTTATAGGGTTTAGAGTTTAAGGTTATTCAGGGGTTTAGGAAGTTTAGGGTTTAGGGTTTTGTGTGGTTGCCCGTTAAAGGGTTCAGGGTTCAGGGTTTACACTTTAGGGTTCAGGGGTTTAGTGTTCAGGGTTTTGGTTGCCCATTGTTAAGGACCAGGGCAGACCCTAAACCCTAAACCCTAAACCCTGAACCCTAAACCCTAAACCCTGAACCCTAAACCCTAAACCCCAAACCCTAAACCCTAAACCCTCTTTAGACCGACCCAGAAGCCCGGCAAAGAAGCCAAAGGCAGTGGAGCGTGGTCCACCAGAGCGAGGCTGGCAAGGTCCAGCGTCGAGCCTGGCAAGACAGAGCTCCCAAGCAGGAGGGTTGAGGGTTTAGGGTTTCGGGTTTAGGGTTTAGGATTTAGGGCGGCTTACGGGGGTCTAGGGTTTAGGATCAGGGCGTAAGGGAGTTTAAGGGTGTTTAGGGTTTAGGGATTTGGTTTTGTTTAAGGTTTAGGGTTTAGTGTTGTAGAGGGTTGCCAAGTTTCTGACTCCTAGGCTCAAAATGCCTGCTGTCTGAGGGAGGCCAAAGTGTTTAGGGTTGGGATGTAGGGTTTAAGGGGGTTTAGGGTTTAGGGTTAGGACGTAGGGTTTAAGGGGGGTTAGGGTTTAGGGTTAGGATGTAAGGTTTAAGGGGGTTTAGGGTTTAGGGTTAGGATGTAAGGTTTAAGGGGGTTTAGGGTTAAGGGTTGAGGGTTTACGGGGTGAGGGTGAAGGGCTAGGAGCCAATCAAGGCGCGAGGTTCACGGTTCAGGGTTCGGGGCAAGCCCTAAACCCTAAACCCTAAACCCTAAACCCTAAACCCTAAACACTAAACCCTAAACCCTAAACCCTAAACCCTAAACCCTAAACCCTAAACCCTAAACCCCAAACCCCAAACCCTAAACCCTAAACCCTAAACCCTAAACCCTAAACCCTAAACCCTAAACCCTAAACCCTAAACCCAAACCCTACATCCTTACACCAAACCCTGTTTAGGCTTAAGACGATTATATGGTCACTTCTCTAAATCATGGTTCCTTGTTGGGGTGTCCTAAATAAGAGGGGCCGCCTTATCTGAAGGACCTCCTCGAACGGGATCTTAATTTAGAGATCACCACATTCAGTACTTTTTCAGAAGGTTTGAAAGGCCAGCCTTGAGTTTTAACAATCACTGGGGGGCTGTTGGGAGGGTTAGGGGTTTAAAGGGAAACCCTAAACCCTAAAACCTGAGTCCCGCTGACATACCCTTCAGTAGGCTTTGGGGCTTGGGTTCTTAGGGTTGGAGTCCCTAAGGGTTAGGGGTTCCAAGAAGTTCCAGGACCCAATGCCTCTGCACACCATCCCGACCATCGCGCGCAACGCCGTGGAGCCCGCCGAGGCTACGAGGACCCACGGGCCGTGGATGGAAGGGCTTTCCAACGCACCCAGAGTAGGCCCTTGCTCCCCTTTTGTTTTAGGGTTTCGGTTCTCTTAGAAACCCCTTTAAACCAAAAAGGGTACCCTTGTTTTCCCTAGGTTACTCCTGGCTCTAGTTCCCCATGCCCTGATACCTAAGCTCTAAACTTATGTCATGCTCTGGAAGGAACTCTGGATTCCTAAACCCTAAACCCTAAACCCTAAACCCTAAAACATTAAAACGTCCTCAGGTCGGAGCCCTCAGGTCCGAAACCCAGAGGCTCAACAAACTGTTCCACAACGGCGAATCTCCTCCCCCGCCATAATTCCAGCGCCTCCCAAACTTGCCCCTCCCTTTCACACGTACACCCATGCAGTCTTGTTTATTTTCATGTTATATATATATATAGTTATTATTATTCTTATTATTATCATATTTATACTTATATTTTTAAATTTGTTTTGTTTGTTAGTTTTTTAGGGGGGAGGGCCCGACGATCATGTACCAAGTTTAAGGTTTCTTGTGTATGCAAGAGCTCAGTTTCGGGAATCCATCGATCCTCTCACGGTTCTTACTAACAGTCCTTAATCTGGATGAATGGAGCGTACTAGAATCCCTATTAAGGACTGCTAGTATAGGGGGAGACCACCCCAAGTTCTGGTTGGAAAGTAGGGAGGTTTTGATTGAACACTCTTTAAAGCTATGCCCTAAACCCACCCCCACCCCCCAACCCTTAGAAAGCAACTCCTTCATCCCAAATGTGTTTCACAAGCCACACCTGATTCTCCCACCTCCCTCAGGTACCCCTACTAAACTCTAAGCTCTTAACTGTTGGGTTTGGTGTTTGGGGTTTAGGGTTCAACCCAAAACGCGATGTGCTTCAAGCTTAAGCCCGTAACCCAAAGAAGCCCGAAGAAGAAAGCCCAACCCCAGAGGAATCCGAAAGCCTAAGGCTCAACCCCCCAGAACACCCGAAGATCCAAAGACCCCCCAACGCGCCAAAAACCCCGATCAAACCCCCAAAGCCATACGCCCAAGCCTTCACCGCTGACCCCTGACACCTTCAGGCCAAAGCCCGAAGCCCGGACGCCGGAAGCTCCGGCTCCAAGATAAAAGCCCTGAAACCCTGCACCGCCCTGAGGCCGAAGCCCTGGAATCCTAAAACCCCCGAAGCCCCAAGCCCCGAAAACCTCAACGGGATGCTGCAGCCGGTTAGGAAACCGTGGGCAGTGGAGCAGGACTGAGCCAGGATAAGGGTTTACAGGGTTTAGGTTTCAGGTTTTCGGGTTCAGGTGTGAGGGTTCTTGGGATTGGGTGTTTAGACATCCAAGCTCGTACCCCGAATGCTGTACTGTTGCACCCCCCTCAAATTTCATGCGCTCCCATTTCGGGTCCCTAAAGCCTAAGCCCTGAACCCTGAAAGGGGTTCTTTAAAGGGTGTGTGCCCAACCCAAGGGTGCAACCTCAGGGGTTCAAGGTAGGGAGCGAGATATCTGTCTGGGGTTTGGGGTTTTGGGCATGCGGGTTTAGGGTCTTAGGGTTTTATGGTTTAGGGTCTCAGCGTTCGGGGTGTAGGGTTTAGAGGGTTTTAGAGTTTAGAGGGTTAGAGGGTTCAGAGTCAAAGGTTTTTTTGGGTTTCAAGGCCTTTATGGCTTGGGGTTGATTCAGGGTAGAGGATTGTGGTCCTAGATCCTAAAGTCCTGAACCTCACATAACTCGCAACGCCTTCATGAGCCGGCGAGGAGGCCCCCACAGCACCCCAAGCCCGAAACCTGAAGCCCCCAAAACCTATAAACCCCTAAACCCCTATATAACTCTATATACCTCGATACCCTGCATAATCCCATGTAACCCGCTATAACCCCAAACCCTGTATAGTTTCCTTAAACCCGTATCTAACTCTAATAACCTACAAGACGCGCTCAAAACCCTAGACCTTGTGTAGCCCTATATCCTATAACCCTGAACCCTAAACCCTAAACCCTAAACTCTAAACCCTGAACCCCAACATCCTACAGATGTGTCGTGGACCCTTATGAGGGGAACCCACTTGGAAGATCAAGGGCCCAGAACAACTGAAGTCGGGCAACTAAGTGAGAAATGGCTATGATTGGGGTTAGGGGTTTCGGGTTTAGGATTGGGGGTTCAGGGTTTTGGAGTCTAGGGGTTTAGGGGTTAAGGGGTTAAGGGGTTTAGGGTTTAGGGTTTAGGGCTACCCCTTTTTGAGGGCCAGTATCACGATCATCCCTACTTATCATGACCTGCGCACCCTTAAAGAAGACCTGGCCTGCAACATCTCTTGGCCATGAACCCTAAACCCTAAGCCCTAAAGCCTAAACCCTAAACCCTAAACCCTTAGCCCAAAACCCTAATCCCTAAACCCAAACCCCTAAGCCCGAAACTCTAAACCCTGACGCCCGAACCCATCGCACGTGCATAGTCTTTTGTTTGGGAGCGACGGGGGTTGGGGGGTTGCGGGGCTTCGGGGTCGGTTTGTTTGGGGATTAATTTGGGTTTAGGGACTAGGGTTTTGGGGCGTTAGGGTTTGGGGCTTGAAGGTTTGAGGGTTACAACTTTCAGGACTGCCACGGCTTGCCCGAGGTTGCATCACGGTCTCGTTCCCTTGCACCAGGCCGCGTGGGGATAGGAACGTAAGCTTCTTGAGGTTACGGTCAAGGGCTAAGACTAAGACTCGTACCCCCAACTAAAGGTTCTCCTTTAGACACTCCAAAAATGGGGCCCGTATATTCCCTCGATGATCTGTAAAAAAGGGTGCCCAAACCCGAAGGTGCGACCTTGGGGTCCAAGGCAGAGTCCTATGATAAGGGTTTGGCGTTTGAGCGCCTGCACCAAAT